ATATGTATACGTTTTGTATGCTCAATCGTTTTTGCTGTTACCGTTATCATAGTAGTGTGAAAAACTTAATTATTTCGTATTCCTACTTCTGATAGAGTTTGAAAATCGTGATTGTGTGTTCAATCGGAACAGCCTATATACTCGACATCAAATACTAGTAATATAAAGTTCGGAAATTCCCTAAACGGAAAGCGCCATTACAATACATACTAACTAATTATACTTATGTATAATTGGAGTGATGTGGAATAGTTTTAAAAAATAGGTACATGGTCAGCAAACCGTAAAATAAAACAATCAGCTCTGAGCAGTTTTCACTTATTTTGAAAACTACGAGAATCCCCCAAGGAATGTCCCATTCATAACCATTGTTTAAACGGGAGAGTGGCCGTGTGTTTATTGAATTGCAAACAATATAGATAGCCTTAGCATATAATTAGTTTCACTTGGGTATTTACCAGTAACCACTAATAAAAGGGCTTCAGTCATTACCTGTGTTAGGAAATGTTAATAACCTGCATATAGTCAAGCCTGATGTTCTGTTTGGTGAACATTACATAAAGTAAAGTTCATATATAAAACAAACAATTTCAGTTTAAAACAAATCAATTATGTTGTCTAAAAATCTCTGCATTGCTGCTGTTTTAGTAGTAGTGGTAAGTACAAGCAGATTAAAAACTTACTTAAACCAACTAAGACTAATAAATGTATTTGAAAACGATGTGAACATGCGAATTTACCCAAAGGTTCCAACAACCCTGGAACATTATTTTATTATTTACGACTATTAAATTTTCAAAATCAAGGAATTAAATATTTATATTGGAAAAAGTTTGTGCAAATTCTTCAAACAACTATACTTACAATTTATAGTAGTCAGACTAGCCGCTGAGTAAAAATTAATATCAAATATCAACTTTTGATCCAGTCTAACACCTCAATTGCATATAATGAACGAAAAAATGTGCACTGGTATTAAGATTTGTGTATTAATAAAATTTGATTTCAAAACGAGGCATTTTGAAAACAAACCGTTGATCGACCTTCAATAATGTTCAGGGTTATTGATTGAACTTTAGCCACCCCGTTTTTGCATCTAATTTCAAATTTAGAGAAAAATGTTAAATACAAAAGTTGTAGATACTAACGTCTAGTTTATTTTAAGATAACCAATTGATACAGGGTGTCTCAAATTCAAGTGGCAGACCAAACTTACCTTTTTTTAAATGGAATGCCGTACTCTTTATTGCATATTCGAACTATTCGCACAATTCTAGGCCTACTCGATATAAATGTTCTATAATGATCTTCAACTGTTTTTGAGTTAATAACTAATATTGATTGAACTTTGGCCACCCCGTTTTTGCATCTTATTTGAAATTTAGAGACAAATCTTAAATACGAAAGTTGTAGATATTAAAGTCTAGTTTATTTTAAGATAATATCAATTACTACAGGGTGTCTCAAATTCAAGTGCTTGACCAAACTCAAATTTTCATAAATGGAATGCCCGAATATTTAAATGGTTATTAACTCAAAAACTGTTGAAAAGCATTATAGAACATTTATATGGAGTAGGCCTAGAATTGTGAGAATAGTTCGAATATGCAATAAAAAGTACGGCATTTCATTTAAAAAAAGATAAGTTTGGTCTGCCACTTGAATTTGAGACACCCTGTATCAATTGGTGTTATCTTAATATAAACTAGTATCTACAACTTTTGTATTTAACATTTTTCTCTAAATTTCAAATTAGACGCAAGAACGGGGTGGCCAAAGTTCAATCAATAACCCTGTACATTTTTTGTATTTAGTTTAATATTAAAAGCCTACAACAAATATTAAAACATCTCAGGTACTAGTTCTCTTTAGAGAATTTTAAGGAAAGGGATTTTGCATTGCAGGAAATTTTAAGTCGGCTTCATTATCAGGAAAATTCTGAATTGTTTAAAGACTATAAGACTTATAATTTAGGTTGGGAGGATTCGAAAGTTGCTTAACTTCTTATGTGTATATTTAAATTTATTAACAAAATAATTTTGCTAATTTTCAATCTCCCTCATGTATTCAAATTCAATAAGCTTTGTAACATCACTTCGCACTTTATAACAACAAATGAAAGTTTTGGAACCGTATACTTTTGCGACTCAAAGCATATAATCTAGTAACATTCCGCATTTTTAGTTTCAAACGACGTTTGTGGCCGCCAACATAATTTTCTCGAGCCGGATTACAGATTTAGGAACGCGATCTCCCCAAGACCGCTCATCTATTTCTACTTTTACGACAGGAATGGTGATAAACCCACATAATATAGCGAGCAAGGGTATTATTAATGAAAATAAAGGCAAGAAATGTTCCTGTATCTGCCGAAGAAATGGATTAGGTTGATCGTGTTAGTATTTAGTTAGTTAGTAAGTTAATACAGCTTTTGTTCTCTTTTAAAATAAGTAAGTACCCACTCATTTATTTTTTAAGCAGTTTGTTTTAAAAACATTTTTTAATTTAGTTGATTAATAATTTAGCTTAGGTTGATTTTATATAATTGCTAAAAAAGATGTAGTATAAAAAAATGGTATGCGTCACGGAACGCTCGACAGAAGTGATAACTTCATAAATTAATAGAAACCATAAAATATTGAACTTGTTTAACGCATGATGGCAATAATCATTTTATTTTATAATTTTAATATTATCCCTTGTTTAATAATTTATAAATATATCAGGAATAGGTAAAATGTAATTTCCTTTTGAATGTAAAATATCTTTTATTTACATTTGCTTGCGTTGCAAAGAAGCAAAAAGACAACGGCACGCGGTGTTCCCAAGCGGTCACCCATCCAAGTACTAACCGCGCCCGACGTTGCTTAACTTCGGTGATC